AACCGAGCTGTTTCTCCGCGAACCCCCTCTGCAGTACGTGCCGGTCAAGGGCGACCACGTAATCGGAATAGTGACGGCCAAAGCCGGGGACGTGTTTAAGCTGGACGTCGGTGGGAGCGAGCAGGCCTCTCTGTCCTACTTGGCCTTCGAAGGCGCCACGAAGAGGAACAGGCCAAATGTGCAGGTGGTACTTGCGTTTGTCGGGGGCAACGCTTTAGCCATGTCGTTTGGCGGTGCTTCTGTTACGTTTTAGTAGTTTGTCTTAGTAAAAGGTATTGTTTAAGTCGCGTGTAAGAGGAGGAGTGCAGGTTTATTTGCAGTGGTTTTGCTGTGGCCCTCCTTGCGGGTTTTTGCACGATGAGGCTGTGGGCTTTCTGAGGGTTCTTAAGAGAACACGTAACTGGTGCGGCTTGGTACCTGTCAGGTGGCTGGCTTTTTCACTCCATATGCTTTAACTTTCCCATAATACTGCCAGCGGTAGATGCAGTTGATGAGCAATGTGCATCCAGGGGGGACGCCCTGAAGTTAAAGTTTTAAAACAAGCTTTTACACCATCTGATACTGGTAGAAAACGGTTGGGTTTTTAATAACACTGTTGTAAACAGTTGTGTGGCACATGCATGCCACAGCTTCTGCACTGAACTGAAATACCATCACCAGAATGTAAAAATGGACTGTAAAGAAAAACAAAACAGGTTAGTGTGATTTTTTTTTTTTTTTTTTTTGTGGTGGTTGTCCTGGTAAATGATCACAAGAGCAGATTGTTTAGACTTTAATACCCTTGTGTTGTGTTTTAACCCCTGTTGGCAACTAAGCACCACAGAGCCGCTTGCTCGCCCTCCCCGCCCCCCCGGTGGGATGGGGGAGAGAATTGGGAAAAAAAAAAGTTGAGATAAAGGCAGTTTAATAGGACAGCAGAGGAAGATAAAATAATAATGATAAAAGAATATACAAAACAAGCGATGCACAAAGCCGTTGCTCACCACCTGCTGAGCGATGCCCAGCCAGTCCCTGTGCGGCAATCGCTGCCCCCCGGCCAACCCCCCCAGTTTATATGCTAAGCACGATGCCATACGGTATGGAATAGCCCTTTGGACAGTTTGGGTACGCTGGCCTGGCTGTGCCCCCTCCCAGCTTCTTGTGCTGAAAAGTCCTTGACTTAGTATAAACAGTACTTAGCAACAACTAAAACTTACCAGCATTATTCTCATACTAAATCCAAAACACAGTGCTGTGCCAGCTACTAGGAAGAAAATTAACTCTATCCCAGCTGAAACCAGGACACCTTGAAGTCTGAAGAAAGAGGAATTCATGTTTGGTCTTTAAAAAAGAAAAGAGGAATACTCCAAAAAAAAGAACAGAATTTTATTTCATGAATCTTTCAAATTCCAGTAATGATACAAGACAATTGTTCCTAGCAGATGTTTCCTTTAGCAGAAGGAGAGAAAATGGAAATTTCTATTATACCTGTTTATTTTTTTATCACCAATATTTTAAAACTATTTTGTGGCCTCATGGGAAGATTTTTATTAACTGAGTATTTCTTACAAATGTGTGGTATAGTCTTCTCTAATACATTTGCTTTTCGACGCTGCTTTGTTTAGGTGGGAGATCTTATTTATGGTCAGTTCCTTGTGGCAAATAAAGACATGGAACCAGAGATGGTCTGTATAGACAGCAGTGGAAGATCAAGTGGAATGGGAATAATTGGACAAGATGGCTTCCTCTTTAAAGTTTCCTTAGGTCTAATAAGAAAGTAAGTATGAAGAAAAGTAAGTAGTCACTAACATGTAATATGGTGGGTAGGATTTGCACAACTATTTCCTCTGAGCAGCGTGGACAAGTTGGTAATCAGAGTGTGTAATTATTTTAGTGCATTTATACCAGTTTTACTGACTAGAGTATGGATATTGACCTAGAAGGAGCGTGTATTTTCCCCTTAAGAGATTTAGATGCTCTTCTGTATGGTGGTGTGTGACCTGTTTAAAAAAAGTGATGTGGTTGCCAAGGCAGTATGGAAAACAAAACCATTGACCTGGGGAAATCAAACATTCAAGCTGGGGTTTCAGGTATGTCTTGGAGTTTAAAAATTGGAAATGCTTACTCTCCTTTTTCTGCTGAATGGGGTAGTGGGAGATGTATATTTGACTGACAGCTGATTAAAGGAGTCTTTCCACATCAATACACATTATTTTCTGACTTCTGAAGAAAAATAAATTGCATTGAAATAAGGATACAGATAAAAAATTGTGGGGTTTTCATTTAAAATTGATATGTTAATCCAGGAACCATTTCATAAGCTTTTAAATGTATTGTGAACTTTGGAGTTACTTATACTGATGTAAATACAATATTTTTGTGACTATCAAAGAATACCAGCTTATATGGATAAATAATAGTCAAGCTTTGTTCTTGCTTTTGGGTGGGATTTTTTTGTTTGGTTTTGTTGTTCTTTGGAAAAGCAATCTGGAGATGCAGAGCAGCTATTTTGTACCTGGGTTTTTTAAGTAATGATTTGTCTGGTTTGCATGTCCCATCAGAAGTCAGTGTGAACTGATACAAAATATTTTTGCAGCCGGTCTGCTTGGTTCCAAATTTTGTCTGTACGCAAGTAAAGAAATAATGGTATGTTACAAGTAAACAGCTAAATCCTGGTATGTTTGTTTCTTCTTTGAGAAAGCCTGTTGAAGCTTGGTTTAATCCTCGATGTATTACAATATTCTTGACACTTTTGTTTTTCAGTATGCTGTCACCTAATAAAAACAAGATACTCTGTTTACTGCTGTTAATATTGTCTCCTCAAGGAGAAAGGAAGTTGTGTTTTGAAAGACACATCTTCAACTCTGGTGTCAAATTCATAAATAGCAGCACTTTTAAAATGTCACTTTGTCAAACAGTGTAGTTTTAGAATTTAGTAAATCATAGAATCGTTATAAAATTATAAATTCACTTTAAATTTGTCAGGTATTACTTCTGAATCTAGTTAGAAAAAAAACCAACTGAATTCATGAGTGCTGTATTTTTTTTAGGTGCATATAGTTTATATGAGAGGAGAATTACGAATCTGATACTGTATTGCTATTTTGGATGCATATGCAACTTGATCGTCTTACCTTTTGGTGTTGCTTTAATAGCTTGTGTAACACCAGTACTTTGGTTTAGTTACTGATTGATAATAATGTGGTATCTATCAAATGTGACCGCTTACTACTTCCTCTGACTTCTTTTAATCTTTTTTACAGACTCTTGGCTCCCAAATGTGAAATAATTCAGGAGTTGTCACAATTGTACCCATTTGAGCTGGTGCTGGGAATGAATGGAAGAATATGGGTAAAAGCAAAAACAGTTCAACAGACTTTAATTATAGTAAATATTTTGGAAGCCTGTGAGTATATGACTGCAGACCAGAGAAAACAAGCGCTTGCCAAGTTGTCAGGGAATTGATAAGAGAAGACCTTGAGGATTTGTTTGAGATTGACGGTAGGGGGTGTTGGTTATTTTTGTATTCAGATTTATATTAAAAGGCATTTTTTTTAATGAAGTACTGGACTTCTGTTGTTGTTCTTCAGTTCCCTTTATCCACTCAGCTTGTTTTGTCTTGTTTAGGAACTTTGTTTTTACTCATTTCTTGTATTTATGAAACCCTGTTTATGTTTATGAATTTTCTGACTGATGTGGAGACAGTCTTAAAAAGCTTCCATTAGCTCTGGGTTTTGAGGTCTAAGTCTTCTGTAGGAAAACTGGGCAATTTGTAAACAATTTGCTTTTTTTTAGTCAATATTAAAACTTTAAACAATACATCTTTACTTGGGGTAGCAGAAAGTATCCTACAGGTCATTCATTCTGGTCAGGTGCTCTATATATACAGTGATAAGAAGTGTTTATTTAATATTTTACAAAACTTGGGAATAGAAATGCAGGTGGAGAATACCAGGAAGTAATTACAGGGCATAACATTAAATAATTACAGGGTGGTTAAGGAAAATGATCAGATAAGACCTGACATATGGTCACAGTGACCTTACCAACTTCCCTAAAAGATAACCTGGCTAGTAGTCTTAAGGAAATAGTAACTAGGATGTAACTTCAGTGTGGACATTCAGAAGGCTTGATGGCTCACTGGAGGTAAAAAATATACTTAACAGCAACGTTATTTGAAAGTTGCAACTTTTTCGTAAGTGCTTTTGAACTAGAGATTGGGTAAAGCAGCAATAGCCGTGCATTTCACAATTCTAGACATTTTAGATTTATTTTGTTTAATTACAGCATGAAGATTCCATATAGCTTTGCTTCATGTTTAACAAAATCAGCATTTCTGAAGAAAGCTGTATTAGGCTTAGTAGCTCCTGACATGCATATAGAGGAAATGCTGTCTGAGGAAGGGCAAGCTGTCAGTCTGTTTTAGTATGTGAATAGTTTGCTACTGTTCTTTTGAGACAGGAGAACCCTGGAGTAATGGAAGGGGAATTATTGATGCCTGCTTCCTGTGGGAGAAAAGTTTGACTACGTACCCAATGAACTGCATGGGAGCTGTTTAAGCAGTTACTTAGATCTATGTTGTTTTGTGGTTCTTCATAAGTCGAGTAGTTAGCAATAGTTAAAAGAAATTAGAAAAAAATGGACTAATTAGAGTAAGCCTGAATACCATCTTAATTCCAGATGGAAACAAAATTCTTCCTATTTATTCTGTATTTCATCCAAAGTTCAGCCTGTGGCATTTGATGATACTGTTTTCTTTGGCTTCTCTCATTTAGAAATTGCTTCAGTTCAGAGCCACTCCTCTGACTCATCTTTAATATGCTTACCTAGGGCTTCCCCTGATTCAATAAAAACACAACTCTAATGGTTTCTGTATGAGTCTAATGGCTACAACTCAGAATTCTTTTGGGGTTTCACTGGCCTTCCTATTTAGCATTTAGGGTATTGCTCATCTGGCTTGGTAGACCTAATTGTACTTTTTCACCTGTCTTCTCCCAGCTGAAGTGACTTTCATTCACATCCCATAAATCCTTTAGGACTCTACTCTGTCTCTTACTACACGTGAAAGGCTGTAACTTAATAAGGATTTCACTAACTGTGCTCTTTTCCAGTGTTTTTTCAACTTCAGCTAACCAGAGCCCCTGCAGGTTGTCTGTTACTAGAACAATAGCTGGCATAAGCAGAAAAGCACTTGCCAAATCATCTCAGAGTGCTAACTTTGTTTTCTGTGAATGTTCTTGGATCGTAATAGTAAAACCACAGGAATGGGGAATGACATGGATCACTTCCTGAAGAGTTGTGGCTTGAAATGCAATTAGCCTTACCACACCCCCTTTTACCTGTCTAAGCAACCTCCCTTCCCTCCCGAAAGAGTTTTAAGCCTAACCTGCAAGATACATGAACAATCCCTGATTTAAAAATGCTGTTTTGGTGGTGCAACATAGCAAATGGTGACCTTGAAAGTTTGCAACATCATCAGTGCCCTATCTCACACCACCCATTATTCTGTCCCACTGTTAACTGCTTGTCACCCAAATATAACCTTAGCTAAATCAAGAGTGGGAAACAAGATGCATTAAAATTATGCTTGTTTTTAATTTAACAAAATGGTATAACCACAAGGTACTTGAGTTTCACCCTCCACAATCATTTTAAGTATGTACTACACTTGGGTTCGTTTGACAATTTATGCAGTGGCAAAAATGACAGAGGATGTGAGCAAAATGGGTGTGGGGAAAATGCTTGAAAGCAAATGTATGTAAACACAATACTAAAAGAAGGCAATATTGGTGTTCTGTGGTTTGGTTTTTTTCTTTTTTAAACTTAGAAGAAAACTACCTACATTCCTTAAACCAATTACTAGCTTTGACAAGCTTTATCTAATGAACAAAATATTCAGGCACAATCTATATGATGTCTTTGTGAACTTGTAGTTCTGGCTCAGTGACTAAACCAGCATCACCAAAAAGAGTGATATTGAATATAACTTGGTTCTAGGAAGAAAGACTGATCATGAGTTAATTAATGTATTCTGCTGGAAATGTTATAGGAAGCCCTTCACATTCCCATGAAAGGCACATAAACACATTTCAGGAAATGGAACTTGCAGAGGTGATGCTGTGGACTTGAAATGTACCTTGCTTCGTAGAATGTCTTTCTGTTGTGTTCATCTGCACGATAATTTAAGTAATTATTCAGTCATTCATTTTAGATACTTGGTGATTGTGCATTGGGTGCTTTGTTATATTGCTTTTCTTGCAAGTTGTGATGAAACTTAAGTAGTAAAGATTGTAGATGTCAACATGGACACAGTCCGTATCCCCAGACATGAGCACAAGGCCTTAAAAAGAAAGTTCACAAAGAATTAAATGGAAACCATACATTGAAAATATGAAATATGTAGTTTGTGGCCCTTCCTAGGTTGATGTGTTGTATAAAGACCAAGAATAAATGCTAACAGCAAGTACAGATACACAGTGTTGAAACTAAGTGTGGTAGTAAAACGTTTGTATTTTGCTCTAGCAGAAGAAAGTTGCACAGACAATTACTTCAGTGTAGTAAGAGGATTTAAGAGCTTATCTCTAAGGCTATGGTTAGAGTGTGGCTGTAGCTCTGCTGCGTTAGTTTACTGTGCCCAACTACTCATTGCCACCTTACCACCAGAAGTTGCAACTGAGGTTTGCTGGCACGTATATTTGGTTCCTAGCCAAGTTCTGTCAAAATGACCCAGATAGTCATCAACGCTTTTAATAGCAGGGTTATTTTGCTTTTCTAACCTGGATGTTCTTTTCACAGAAGACGTCATGGAATTTTTCTCTCAGATTTTAAATATTAAGAGCAGCTCCACCTACTACTGGAGAATCGTAAATTTGTTAGAGAAAGCCCAGCTCTCTTCCTTAGTGCTTGAACAAGTAAGTCTGAGTAACAGCTAAATCAACCAGTAAATCAACAAGTTTTTTTAAACCTTACAAATTGGTCACCTCCATGCTTTACATACTTACATAAAAAAACCATTTACACCAGTTTTTCTAGCTACGTACAACCAAGTTGGTGATAAACGTTATTTGGCTGAGTATAGAAACTAGCTATCTTAAGGACAATGTAGGACACTTTATTTAGTTGCATTAGTAACACAAGCAGCCTTATCCTTACTAATGACTTGTATAGATTGCAAGATGCTTAACTAACTGTTGAAGTCTATAGTAAGGAATTAAACGTGTCAGTTCTGCCCCACCAACCTGAACAAGAAATAGCCTAGAAACGTGTTGGGTGCCTGGATTTTAATAGAAGCTATGTAGTAGCTGCAGGCGGTTAACCAGGACTGCTGCAGAATGACTGTTTTCCTCTGATGTCCTGATTTTGCAGAAGTGCAGTTACTGCCTTTTTGGTGCTATCAATATGAGTATTTGGGGATGTTCAAGAGCCTAGTTTTGCTTATAGAGCCTGAAGCTTGATCACTATTCTAATGGCTTGAATAGTCATCAAAAATAACACTTTTTACTAGGCTTCAGTCTCCTACCTGGTATGAGAAAAACTAAAAAATTGGAATAGAATAACAGTATAGGTAGCACCGCAGTAAACAGGACAAAGAAGAACTATAGGCCGCAGAGATTTAATTTTGCTTTAATTACACTTACCTGATGTAAAGATACAGGAGGACTAATGACCTCATCCGCTCTTTCCAAAGGCTTAGGTTATCTGTTGCATTGTTGTAAATGGTAGGCTTTTCTATTATTCAGTGTTTATTAGGTCACTGCCAAAAGAGATATGTGTAAGTATCTGTATACCCATTAAAAAGACTTCCTAATTCTTTCTTCCTGCTCGTGTCCAGGTGGAGGGTGTTGCACCAATCTCTTCTTGGTGTTCCACTGTGAACTGCTCGTGCGGGTGAAACCGATTTCAACAGACCTGTAGGTCCTTTGGTTTCTTCAGTGACTACCGCACCCTGATCTTACTTAAGATAAATCTAAGACCCTGTGTCCAGGCTGTCTGTAGACAGACTGGTGCTTTTACTTCCTGAGAATCAGGTTGGAAACACCACCACATGAGTACATATCACCGTACAGGCTCCAAACAAGAGGTGGCTTTTGCCAGGTCTAGCTGAAATCTATGTCAGCCTGCTTCTGTGTGGATATGCCTTTAGAAGCACATGGGTGAAAAGTTCAACCTGTAGTTTTGTGTATCTGCATCTAATCTTATTGGCTCAATATAGAAAAATCTTAATTAGTCTGGAAATCCTTCTACAGATGTAGGGCCTAGATCCTGCCTGAGCCCACCACTGTCTGTTTCCTCGTTGCTTTTGAGATCTCCTGTTTCCCGACAGAGAAGACAGTTTGTTTAATACAAGACACCCTTGGTCTAAAGCTGATCTATAGAAGCATGATCCAACAAGAAATAGAAATAATTAACTTCTGAAATAACACACAGCTTTGTCATTCTGTACATGAATTGAAAGTTTCGTAATGCTAGATCATGTTTTAGCATAGATACTGATACAGTGCATGCTGGGTGACTTATGCACAGGCATGCTAGGGAAATTTAATTAACT